ACTTACCTAACAAGCACTGGAATAGGGAAGTGAGAATGGGAGAAGGCAAAAAGTGACTCAAAACAGACGAAACTGATTAACAGGGTTGTCGGCGCCTAGCTAAGCGTCTTAGCTGGATGCTGCCAAGGTGAGCGACCTGTCAACTCTTTCAACCATAAGCTAATGAAATGGCTCCCTAGATGGGTCGACACGTCAATGAGAAGCAGCAAAATTGGAAAATGCCCCCTTCCCCTCCCCCACCGAACTGCCTCCGCAATATCTACTAAAAAACTACTGTCCTATTTTCCGGCGATACGGCGCACCCATGCACAGGACGCGCATTCACTTCGAACGCGGACACAAATTGTTTTCTGGCTTTTCTTCTGAATGCTTTTGTTTGGTTATTATTGATATGGATAATTTACATTAAATAAGAACTGTTTGGAAACCCCTTTTGGAAAGCGAAAATATGAAAAAACAGCCGCTGTTCAGGAACTTTTCGCGCGCGCGTTATCGCGAGCGGCAATGCGTGCGTGCATGCTGATAAATACGCTTTATACTCCGGAAAATGAGGATTCCAGTTTGCAAGTCTATGAGTGTTTCAAAGCGAACTGAACAAACCTCCATTAGTACCGGTGTATTCGTTTCCCAATCATCAGGTAAAGTCGCAGGCATATTACCAGCTTCACCGATCGAATAAGCCGCATTGTATAAAGAAGCATAATCAAGCTATAAGCAGAAATTTCATTCCGTCAGGTCTGGAACTCTCTTCGGACAAGCAAACACAGCCCACCTTAGGCATCATATTGAGAACGAAATTCTCATTAAACTCCACTTCCTTATTAGCTATTTGATTAGCTCGAAGAATAAGTGGATAACCATTGGTCACATTCTTCAGAAACCTGGATGACAAGAAGTTATGAGTGAGAAGTTTCATCTGAAATGGAAGACGTGTTTCTCTGTCGTGGCGTACATAACAAATTCCGGCGCTAATAACCTTGAAGGGGGGGGGGCACATTTGGTGAGCAACTCGTCAGCATACTGAATCCTGCAAATTCTACCCGCAGCTACAGTACCTACACTCCTGTGAGCCTTGCTATCACCTGTCAAAGAGCCTGCAAACTCTTGTCAAACTTGTCAAAATGACTGGTCAAGGTTTTGAAGAAAATGGAGAAATGGTTTCACAGTAACGCTAGCACCATTCCGCCAACTTGACAGGTGTTTACAGGGTACTTGACAGGAATTAACAGGACTTGCAAGGTGATACACGATTGTGAAAATACAAAAGAAAACAAAGACGCACATTGAAAAAGGTTTGTGGCTCGGGTATGTGGCAAGACAATCGTAATATGCACGGCGTTGGCGAGCGATGTGCACCTAACGGACGAGTTGCCTTGCCTGGCCGGTCGAATATGAATGCCAGAGATGGGAAAATTTGATATCGCCTGTCATAGATTCATGCCTTTGCTTGAGTTCTACGAGTTTTGCTCCAGTTGACAGACTGATGCACATCGAGGATTCGCCTCGCAGTTTGCGCGCGGGACCCGCGCGCTCACGACGCGTCCAAACTACGATTATTTTGTCCGCCTTCTATGTGGCTCACCCCAAGGTTATCAACACCTGAATTCAGAAGGATTCAAACGAAGAAAAAAAAAGATAGTCTTCAGTGCGTCATACACTTTGATCACACAACCACACGACGATTCATCATAATTTAATTATGAGATACAATGTTATCATACCAAATAGAGAAAATTTCCACTTGAAGACAAATTTTGAAATCGTTCTGGAGAATTGAACAGTAGTTTAGTTGCTAATAATTTTACAGTGAACAGAGCACAGCTAGTGAGCATCATGCAACAATCAGGACGTCTTTGATCACCATGCTTTATGGCGGAATTTTAGCTATTCACAAAGCATAAGAAAGATATACAAAAAGAAGACATTCGATACCCGTAGAAAACACGCAGCGAATAAGAAACCAATCCAGCACTGGGATTAGAAAGCCTAATAATTATACTGTTCTAATGAAATTAATTTGGGAGTACTCTCAGGTTGGTGGGGGTTTTCCTAACTAATTATCAACCCGACGGTCGAGGCCTCCGTGTGGCTTAACTTGCACAACTGCATGTGGAGCTGGGGCAATATCTAGGAATTCCGTTTCTGAAACCTGACGGAGTCTACGCGGTCTCACCAAGGTATGCACGTGCGCCAAGTTGTATGAAAAATGCCAAAAATACCCATCCAAGCCGAAAGCGCACTGAATTTCACTAACAAGAAGACGACTCAAAGACTGCTAAGATATCTCCTGTCTGTAACTTTTTCATGAATCAGCTACTTAGTATCATCATACATGAAAAATCACAATGCTAACTAGAAAGAAACGAGTCAAAAACCGGGCCAGGAAATTCCGTATTGAAAGATACAAGTTACTTAGCAGGAGAAAGGCATACAACTCGTCCTGGCCATTCAGAATGAGATGTATATTCCTAGGAGCGTCTCCGGATACTGATATCAGATCTGACTTCCAAATCTGCTAAACGATTCTGGGTGGAGAGTTACGGAGGATATTTTATTGCTATCGTGCTTAATCAGTGCGGTGCGCGATCCGCTGCCCGATGCTTTGCGGGCTCGTAAAGCTAACTGCCGTGACCCGCTGCGCAGTGCTCGTGCGGCGCAGGTAAGTGAGTTGGCTATTCAATAAGTAGTGAGGCGGAGGTTCAAATGCCTTGATGATTTCGTAGTTTTGCTTTTTCTGAAAACGCATGCTTTGGGTGGTTTTGCGTACCTGTCCGACCACCAAGACCCCTCTCCTGCTACTTATTGAGCCCCGCGAACGATTTTCGTGGAAACTTACACTTTTGCCTAACTAGCTCAAGCAAGGGACCAAATACACATGCATATCTGCTTGGAGCTCGTGAACTGCGAGATTTCATCATCCTATAGGATGACAACGTGTGTGGCCAACGAAAGAATTCGTCATCTCTGTCGTTCCACCTCACGCCCACAATATGTATTTGCGACCTGTCCACCATTGTTGGAATGTTTAGACTCTGGTGCTATCACACCTAGTGAAAGAATTCGGGTCTTGCGATATTGTTTGATCACTATCCCGCAAAGAAAAGAAGATTGCAGAGAGTTTCTATCCTATTGTGCGCGACGCACTGTACTACAACCGTATAATCGACTGCGAGGGAGATAGAGATTTGGTGGAGGACTAACAATACGGACTCTTTTTTCTAGTGCATCTGAAAGATAAGCGATGAAATCCCTTCAGAGCATCTAGATTTGAAGCATTTTCTTTCTGTAATCTTCAGCAGTTTACCTTGACACTCATCCAGACGAGTTCGAGAGTTCTCTCCAATATTGCATTACATATCATCTGGAGGGAATCTGTGAGAATAATGGTTGCAGCGAAATTCTTTTTATTCGCAGCTCACACTGTGAAGAACTTTTTTGCTCTAACCATTTTGTATTGGGATATCACACTGTGCTCGCTTAAAGGCACAACCTGCGATAAATCGCAATCACAGATAGTGCATTAGGGGTTCGCATAGACTAGACGACAATGTGCTGTGTAACTCGGTAATGAAAAAAGGCAGAAAAAACTCGTCACCCGCCTTACAATTAGATAGAACCCCATTTCAAGCCACTTTGTACGTGCCCAGTGAGCTCCATCTCCTACACTACGCCCTCATCCACACAGCTTATTCACTATAAGAACTCTACGACCTTACAAGTGAGCTTACGATTTTCAATGCTTTTTCGTCCTGCAGCTTCGTTTTTCATTGGATGATGGGCTTTGGAAGGCGGAGTGCCTGGAGATGCCAAGCCACTGGTAAAGGTGATGTCGCGTCTTGGAGCTATCATTGCGTTACATAACCCTCGCTGTTACAATTTTTTTTCCCGCCGTAAACCAGTAGCAAGGTTGTTTCCTTGGCGAGCCACTACCCTCGCAACACCATATTTCCAACTTTATTCCTGATCGTAGACCAAGCTTTGATGTTTCCCCATTAAATACGAAAATATATGCCTCGAATGAAGCTGTCACGCCAACAAAATCAAAATGAATGCTTTCACTGAAGTTAAAATAAAACCCCTGAAAAGTCGCACATAGGCCCTAATAAGAAGCAGGGAGGGGTCTTGGTGGTCGGACAGGTACGCAAAACTACTTCCCAAGTGTTTAGCATGCGTTTCAAGAAAAAGCAAAACTACGAAATGCATCAAGGATTTGAACCTCCGTCTCACTACTATGAAGCCATCCACTTACCTGCTGCGCCATCGAGCCACGGCGGCAGCTGGGTCACGAGGGGTTTACGAGCGCAAAGCATGGGCAGGGGGTCGCACCGCAATGGTTAAGCACGGTAGCAAAAAAGGTCCGTAACTCTCCACCCAGAATCGTTTAGCAGATTTGGAAGTCAGATCTGATATCAGTATCCGGAGACGCTCCTAGGAATATACATCTCATTCTGAATGGCCAGGACGAGTTGGTATCCTTCCCTGTTAGTGAAGCCCTAGAATCCACCCCCTCAAAACCCAGACAGATCTATATACCTCTGTCAAATCATGCAAAAATTACATGAAGATTAATCGGCGCGAGTAACCTCGGGGCATATTTAAAGGACTTTTTGTGCAATTGGGACTAATGTAACCAGGGCAAGGGAAAACTCTGCAGAATGCGATACCCCGCTTAAAAGTTACTCCTTTAGTATGGCCCCTTCCCTAAACTACGTATCCTTTGAAATTTCTCAGCTTCCTACCACTTTTCCGATCCTTTTTTTTCGGAAATTTCTCTTCCAAATCCCAAGTACGGCCCCGCCTCACTCCAGCGCGACCATCTTCGCGGGTGATTACCAACGCACGATGCCCTTACTATACTTGGCGACAGAGACGAATATTTGGCTAACCCTCAAAGGAGGATTTCCAAAATAGGAGGACCGATTTGAAAGACACGGATCCTCCTCATAGAGGCGATCGCACCTCTGCACAAAGAGATCTTTAAGTGCCCTATTCTCAAGGTTACCAGCGCCGATTGATCTAGAAAAAGTACCTAAAATAGCACAGACCGTGAAGATTATGAGATCTACAGATGGCCAGCATAGTTCCTCCCAAATGAGCTGGAAGATGAAAGGGAAAAGAAATAAAAAAAAACTAGGTAATGGTTGAAAACCACAGTCTTGTTCGCTATGGATTGAGGGGTGTCAGGCAGGATGGGTTTGGCGCGGCGCCAAACCCATTTTCATCACTAAAGCGACTAAGCAACAAGACTTTCACATTGTTCGTATCAGTCCTTTTCAACCAATTCTTATCACTCACGCTCTTCAACATTTGGTGAACGGGCTTAGCGCCGCGCCAAACTTATCCCGCCTGACACGCTTCCTCATCCGCAGAACAAGACTGCATATACCTTAACCACGCCTCTGCCCTTACGGTTTGATCTTCTGGTTCTGGGGCCTATTATGAGTTCATTTGAGATTGACTACACTACATACATACAACACCTATAGATATTTCAAGGGCTGCCCGAATCCTTGTTGATAGGAGAGAGGTCGATCTCTGAGAAACCATCGAATGATTGGTTACCACCATCCAAATCACATCGTATGCTTTGAATGCTGCTATTTATAGAGTGATCGCCATCACCCTAAAAGAGTAAAAAAAAACAATTAGCCGTAAAAACACAATAAATATGGGAGAATGCTGTCATACTTTGCGTGAGCGTTTTGGGCGTATGCCAGCGTTTTGAGCGACTAGGAAAGTGTAGGTATCGAACCAACATCTCCAGCGTACGCTGGAGCTCAGAACAGGATCGATACCTATACTTTCCTACACGCTGGAAACGCTGGGTGCGCTAAAAACGCTGACGCTTAGTATATACGAACCCTTACTTTTAGCCTTGTTCATAGTGGTAGCGGCAGAAGGACCTGCGAGCAGCGAAAAAAAAACGATAAAAGCTCAGTGGCGATTTGTCACCATCTGGCTTTCGTATAACTATGAACATAAGAAATTCAGCCGAAACCAGCTAACTAGAAAAACTCCAGAACAAACA